TCTGTGCCGGTTGATTGCACATGGCTGTCGTTGTTGTTCGATTCGTGGGAGGCGAAAGAAGCCATTGCTGTTGAAGTTGCAAGTTTTGCTTTTTGCAGGTCGTCTTAAGTGTTTGCAGGTTTAGGAAGCGTAAAGAAGAAATGGTTGGGGAAGAAGGTTATTTATAGGTGGAGAATGAGAAACGGTTTTAAGGAAATATTATATTAAAAAGGTTAATCATTAGGGTGGGAGATGTTTGGCAAAAAGGTGATTTGGTGGGGATCGTGTGCCGTATTGACTGTACCATGCTATTAATATTGGAGGACACGTGTCAATATGGGGAGAGTAGATGGGTAATGTGAAGGGGTTTATGGGGAACAAGCTGTTGGAATGGCACGCGTGTGTAAGATGATGCTTGGATTATTTGGGATAATTTAAATAATTATCCTAAATAATATCTTTTGAATATCAATCCAATTTTTTTTATATTTTAAAAATTTCATCTAATTGTAAAATAAATACTAATTACGAAGTTTTGGTCTTCTAAAGACCCATGTTGTATAGTTTTTAGTCACAAAAGCTGCAATTTTGTATAATCTTTAAAAGGTTTTCAATTAAGATGTGTTTTTGGATTAAAATGATTTTGTTATGGAACCAGAGACGCTCTGGTTGGTCATGACTCTTAGGATGGGGAACCAGAGGTCTCTAGTTGAGAGTGATGAAGAAGTTCATCGATGGAATGTTGGGTTGTATTGTGACATCCGAAAATTTAAATACCAGGTTAGTAGCTAGATAGCACTTTAGAAATATTATTAACACTCAAGTAGAGCGATTAGAGCTTAAGTAGTTAGAAATCCCGGTAGGTTGCGTAGAAAACACTGTTTCGACCCGTAATGAACCGGATCGTCTTAAAAAATGGCAAACACTCCAAATAATTTTTTAAAACTTGCATAAAATATAGAGTCTACATATTTTAAATATTTTTTACTTAAAATTATATTTAAGGAATTTATTTATCTCATAAAAATAGGAATTTGGGCATTTTTCTCAATTTTCTCACAAATATACCCAACTTATTAAATTATGGGCTAAATTTTTTACAAAACAAAAGTAGAGAGAGGCCCATAGGCCCATCTAATGCCCCCCACCCCCTCTCCTCTACATATAACTACATTTTGAAATTTAAAAATACTCATTTCTTATTCTCTTGGCAACCTTTCATCTCCTTACTCTCCCTCACTTTTCATCTACTACTCTCTCCCTCCATCTTCTTCTTCAAGAAATAAAATTCAGCCATTTAATCATTGAAAATAAAAGATTCAAGAAACAAAACTTGAAGAAATCATCTTCTTTTAATCAAAGGTAAGAACATTTGTTAGTATTTTGGCTTTACTTTATGCACCTTTAGTGCCATTTTCTTGTCATTTTCATACTTTTAAGTTTACAAAGGAGAGGTGTTCTTCATTCTAAGTTCTAAGGGTAGATTTTACACCAAATACATGAAAAATGTTCTTAATATGGTGAATATTAGTGACCTAACCATCTAGAACTTTTGAAAAACAAGAAAAACGTTCATTTCATGCATTTTTGTATCTCTTATGGAATCTGAGTCCTCTTTCATTTTTGTTACCAAGAATATTGTATTTTATATATTATTACTTTAATATTGAATAGTAGAGTGATCTTATTTCATAAAATCAAATTTTTTTGGAAATTTTGATGCATAAAAGTCCATTTTTGCATAAAAGAATGACTTTTCTCCTAGACAGATTCATTGCATGAGTTTGGAACGACCATATCTGGTTGTGTATGGACCCAATAAGCATGAATATTTTTTCCTCAAAAATATTTAGTGTATTAGTTTTCAAACCCAAGTGGAATCATGAGAAAATATGACCTTATGACCTCAAAACACCCGAAACAAATTTGGTGTGCAACAGTGGTTGGTCAGAAATTTTGTGTCTCATTGTTCATCTATAACTCATAGAAGACACATCAAAACTCATGAATTTTACCTCTGGAGTATAACTTAGAGTGTTAGATTTCAAAAAAGTCTAACCCCACCCAAAAACATGGTAATTTAGGGGTTCAACCGATTTTTACAAAATAAGTGTGCAATCTGTCCAGACTTGATAGATTTCCACATGCATGTTTAAACAACCATAACTCCCAAACTATACACCCAAATATAATGATTCTTTTTGGAAAAGCTATACTTATGTGTTAGATTTAAAATATTCATGAACCACTAGAAAATAATAAGTATAACTCCTTCAAAATGGTGTAACATTAAGAAGGGGTTTTCTGATTTGAAAGCTGTAATCACTGTTTTGTTAAAATTTGTTTGAGACCCTTCCACTCATCCAAAAATCTTGATTTTTGGTCATAATGATCCTAACTCAGTATACTAAAACATATAAAGTTTTTGGAAAATATACTTCTTGGATGAGGGTGAACCATGGACATTATTGAGTCACAAAGATTCTGTCAGCATGCATGATTTCCTAAAACCACTAAAGATTGGACTCTTAAACCATAAACCGCATAATAAGCATATAAAGTGCTTAAAACTTGATTTTTATCTTAAGAACATAAAGAGGCATTTTATAAGAAGTAAAGGTAGAATAGTAACCTTAACTTTTAAGAGTTTGACAACAGTTCATTTTCTATAGGGATTCACTAAAAGGACTTTACCAAGACGTACCATTTGATCACTCAACCATCTTCTCCGTGAAAGAAAAGGTGAGTATTCACAGTCCCTTTTTAAATCCATCGTTATTTGGGGGAAAAACATGTATAAAAGTAGTTGATGTTTGTATGAAATATATAATGTGTTTAAATCGTGGATACAAATTGATTATATGAAATATGCATAAAAATGAAATTGTGAATACGAGTACTAACACTATGTACGTTAGTAAAAATTGTGTTTGGGTTAATTAAAAAGTCCCACTTGGTTACACTACTTATTAACTCGTATGAGCCGATAGTTTAAGTGAATAGCGCTATTTGGATTGATAATCACACCTTTTATTGACGAGTAGGGGTGCATTTAACTAAAACACGGGTTCTACACATGTGGTTTAAACACCACCGCTGAGGTAGTTCGGTATAAAGGGCCTAGTTGTCGCAGGTTTAGTAGTGGCCCAACACTTAAACTTACTTGGAGTACATTGTGCCTCGTTAAAAGTGCTACACGTTTGAAAGTTATTACGAGTAAGTAAAAGACTTACTCGAACTAAATATTGCATAAAAATTTGTTGTACATTGAAAACTTGTGAACTCACCAAGTCTTGTAATTGACACTTGTTTTAACGTGCTTTTCAGGGGTAAGAAAGGCACATGGTGGCATTTAAAAGAAGTCGCGTTTCAATCATCACCTTCGAATTTTTTTTTTTAATTTACAAACTTGTCGTTTTGGGAATGTAAACTATGGTTAGTGATGTAATGAAGTTTTAATGTATGGTGGTGTTATTTATACTCTATTGCTATGAGACTCTACATGCCATACCTCGTGTTTTCGCTTAGCGGGGTGTGACATATTTGGTATAAGAGCGGTAGGTTATAGAGAATACCGGTTTTCTAAGAAAACCATACACTATAACCCAAAATTTTACAAAATAATTTTCTTAAAAGAGTCTCAAATATTCGAAACGAACATACTACTAATATAACTAGAATGAGTGCCTTCATAGCATACTTTAATTAGACAGAGCCTGATCACCTATGTCTAATTAAGCATGTATATGGAAAGACGTGGACCGGTTATGTTAGCTGTTCGTCTAAAGTTAAGAACTTCTTACTCAAATAAGAAAAGCACGATTTGCATGTGTGGGTTTGCATAAATATTGCATGTTTTTGATATTTATAAGGATTCGTTCAATAATTTAAATTTTGTTAAATATCACAGCACTATGTCGTCAACTAATGAATATTCAAACTCCGAAGAGTACGACCCCTCCGAGCATAGTTACGATAGTGACAACGATGTCACCGAGTCCCCGACGCGATCACCTACCCCTGTGCCACCCCGCCCTATGCCCGCGCATCCATTAGCGGCACATGGAGTTAGAGTTTGGGCCACCGCCCGAAAGAGCATTCCTCCGCCCGTAAGGGTGTCTTTCTCCGCCTCTTTCGGAGTTGGGAGGGAGTCATCTCAGTCACGCACCCGTAGCGTGACGCCCCCACCTACTACCAGGGCCACGTCGGAGCGCTTTCCGGGCATGACCACCTTAGAGAACCTATGGGTTTTGGGCATCGCCCAAGACCTAGATATGTGTGAGCTTAGGTTGGATCATCATCGACACTTCACCGACAGGGTGATTATGGCCCTAGGCATACAAGACAATGTGATGGATCGCTCGTTGGAGTTGATTAACACCGCTAGGGGAGTGATTCGGAGGTTATATACCTACTTGGCGTTGTTAGCGGGAGTTTTGGTAATAGTGATGGGACTAATTGTTTGGATCTAATGCGCTAGAAGAGTCTATTTTACTAAGCTTTTGATAGATCAAACTAAGAATCTTCTTTTGGGGCATGTAGCCGTGACTTATGAACAATTTCTTTCTTTTTGTTGCACGTCTTTATTTTCTTTATGGATGATATGGGTTTTATTTTGGTTAAATTATGTTGATTAATGATTGAATGCCTTTATTATTACAAGTTATTATATATTGCCATGGATGCATGTTTAGATGATTGAATTATGTCGTGAATAATTCAATAAAGTAGATATAATGATAAACAGTAAAAATAACCGAACTTTGATTTGAAATTTGTGCGTTAGAAATATGCCTCCAAGAAGATAAGATCCCGAAATTGCGAGACTTGTGTTCGAGCAAATTCTGGCGGCCCTTCCTAATATAGTTAGCCAAGTAGCAGGAGGCTTGAATGCTAACCAAGCAAACAACCAAGGTTCAGCAGCAAATAGAGACTGTACATATAAAGGCTTTAGGGCTTGCGACCTAAAAGAATTTAATGGGACAGAAGGAGCCGTGGGATTACTTACTTGGATTGAAGGAATGGAGTCCGTCCTTCATATCAGTAAATGTGCTGAAGGAAGCAAAGTGGAGTTTGCAGCTTGTTTACTGCAAGGACGGGCATTGACGTGGTGGAATACCCATATACAAACCCGAGGTCGGGAAACAACCAACAGACTAACATGGGAGGAATTCAAGAAATTACTCAAGGAAGAGTACTGCCTGAGGAGCGAGATCCAGAAGTTAGAAGCAGAACTATGGAATCACGAAATGAAGGGAAGTGATGTAGACTCATACACTGCTCGCTTTCATGAGCTGGCAAAACTGGTGCCACACTTGGTATCACCCAAAGAGAACCGAATTGACCGTTATGTCTGGGGTTTAGCTCCAGAAATCCGAGGGAATGTGACTTCGGCCAATCCAAAAACACTTCAGGACACAGTGAACTTAGCGATAAAACTCACCAACAATGCTATTCGGTCAGGATCATTTGCGAATGATAAAGTCAAGGGTAAGAGAAAAATGGAGGAGCCCGTGAGAAAGAACTACAGCGAGAGGGGCGGTAAGGCCCAAAAAGTGATAAGAAACTTTGGGGCTCAGACACAGACAGTAGAAAAGGACAAGGGAACTTACCCTAGGTGTGACAAGTGCAATAATCACCATGGAAGGAGATGCATCATCTGTCTTAGATGCAACAAAGGAGGTTATTTCGCTAAAGATTGCAGGAGCGGAAGGAGACGAACATGTCATGAGTGCGGAAGCCCGGATCACTTTAGGAATGCATGCCCGAGACTGAACCGACGGCTAGTTACTAACCCAGCATGACCAGTCAACCAAGGAAATCAAGGAGGCCAAGCACGAGGTCGAGCATTTGAGATTGGGGTAGAAGAAGCCAAGCAAGACTCGAACGTGGTCATAGGTACATTCCTCCTGAACAATCATTACGCATCCGTATTATTTGATTCTGGAGCATATAGGAGCTTTGTGTCACTACAATTTAGACCAAAGATTAGTTTAAAGTCACAAAAGCTGGAAGAAGATTTCGTTTTCGAGTTTGCTAATGGACAAGAAGTTAGGACTAAAGACGTAATCACGAATTGTACCTTACGTTTAGCAGAATAAGACTTTAGCATAGACCTTATTCCAATCAGATTAGGAAGCTTTGATGTAGTTGTGGGTATGGATTGGCTATCCAAAAATCGAGCCAAGATATGTTGTTCTGAGAAGACCATCCGAATTTTAAAAGGAAATGAAACACTCGTGGTGCACGGAGAGAAGTCCCAGAGAAATTTCAAGTTAGTAACATGTATGAAGATGCAGAAATACTTGAAAAAGGAATATGTAGCGTTTATGGTCCACATTGTGGATAAGGGAATCGAAGAGAAACACATCCAGGATTTTTCCATAGTTTGGGATTTTCTCGAGGTATTTCCTGATGAGCTGCCAGGATTACCCCCCGTTACTGTAGGTCGAATTCCACATTGACTTAATTCCTGGAGCAGCGACCGTAGCCAAATCACCTTATCGTTTGGCACCATCGAAAATGAAAGAATTGTCAGAACAACTTAAGGAGCTACTCGACAAAGGATTCATCAGACCCAACTCTTCACCCTGGGGAGCTCCAATACTATTTGTTAAAAAGAAAGACGGATCCTTTCGGATGTGCATCGATTATAGGAAACTCAATAAGCTGACCATCAAGAACCGATATCCCCTTCCCCGAATTGATGAATTATTCGATCAACTTCAAGGTGCCACTTACTTTTCAAAGATCGATCTTCGATCCGGATACCGTCAAATGAGGGTCCGTGAGGTAGATATTCCTAGGACGGCATTCAGAACTAGTTATGGTCATAATGAATTCTTAGTTATGCCCTTTGGGTTAACTAACTCGCTAGCAGTTTTCATGGATTTAATGAATAGAGTATGTAGGTCATATTTGGATAAGTTCGTGATTGTATTCATAGATGACATACTGATCTATTCGCAAAACAAGGTGGAGCATGAACAACACTTAAAGTTGACACTTGAGCTGTTAAGGGATCAACAATTGTATGCCAAGTTCTCCAAATGCAAATTTTGGATTCGTAAGGTGCACTTCCTTGGTCATGTGGTAAATGACAAGGGAATTCATGTTGATCCGGCCAAAGTTGAGGCTATAAATAAGTGGGAAGCCCCAAGGACCCCGACGAAAATTCACCAATTTCTCGGTTTAGTAGGTTACTATCGTCGTTTTATTTCAAATTTCTCCAAGATCGCACAACCACTGACGGCATTAACCCAGAAGGATAAGGAGTTCATGTGGAGAGAAAAGCAAGAAGAAGCATTCCAATTGCTCAAGCATAAGCTATGTCACGCACCGATCTTAGCGCTACCAGAATGTACGGAGAATTTTGTGGTATACTGCGATGCGTCACACCTAGGCTTAGGGTGTGTGCTGATGCAAAATGACAAGGTCATTGCTTATGCATCAAGGCAACTCAAGGTTCATGAAAAGAACTACACCACTCATGACTTGAAGCTAGGAGCAGTGGTGTTTGCACTCAAGATTTGGAGACATTATCTCTACGGCACCAAATGCACCATCATCACTGATCACAAAAGCCTTCAACATATCATAGACCAAAAGATGTTGAACATGACGCAATGGAGATGTGTCGAAGTTCTCAACGACTATGACTATGAAATATAGTACCACCCGGGGAAAGCTAACATGGTAGCAGACGCATTAAGCCAGAAAGAAAGGGTAAAACCGTCAAGGGTACGAGCCATAGGGATGCTGATTCAAACGAACCTAAAAATGCAAATTCTTGAAACTCAAAATGAGGTGTTGAAATTGGAGAATCTGAAGAATGAGACCCTGCACCACTTAGAGAAGGAATTCGAAACTCGAGCAGATGGGGTGCATAACTTCAGAGATAGAGTTTGGATACCAAAGGACGACAGCCTTCGGTCAACAATTTTGGAGGAAAGACATCGCTCAAGATACTCAATTCACCCAGGAACCAATAAGATGTACAAAGAGCTAAGAGAGTATTACTGGTGGCCAGGAATGAATATAGACGTTGCTTTGTACGTAAGCCAGTGCCTAACATGCACAAGGGTAAAAACTGAGCATCAAAAACCATCTGGTCTCCTTCAGCAACAAGAGATTCCCCAATGGAAGTGGGATCAGATATCAATAGACTTTGTTACTAAGTTACCTAGGACTAGGAAAGGACATGACTCTATTTGGGTGATAACCGTAGGAAACCGTTGAAATTTCAAGTGGGTGATAAAGTTTTTTTAAAAGTATCTCCATGGAAAGGAGTTGTGCGCTTCAGAAAGAAAGAAAAACTTAGCCCAAGGTACGTTGGTCCATTTGAAATACTCGAAAGAGTAGGACCAGTTGCATACAAACTAAACTTGCCTCAATAGCTTAGTGCCATCCATGATACATTTCACGTATCAAACCTTAAGAAATGTTTAACTGACGAATCATTGGTTCTACCTTTGGAATACATTCAAATTAATGAACGGTTACGCTTCGTTGAAGAGCCGATCGAAATCCTTGACCATAAAGTCAAACATCTGAGACAAAGTAAGATTCTGACCCTAAAAGTTTGATGGAATTCAAGGCATGGACCCGAGTACACTTTGGAATGGGAGGACTTTATGAAAAATAATTACCTGCAGCATTTTATGAAAGAACCAATCGGTGATACCAACAGTTAAATTTCGGGGTGAAATTCCTCTAACAGGGGGAAGCTGTGACATCGGAAAATTTAAATACCAGGTTAGTAGCTAGGTAGCACTTTTGAAATATTATTAACACTCAAGTAGAGCGATTAGAGCTTAAGTAGTTAGAAATCCCGGTAGGTTGCGTATAAAACACTGTTTCGACCCGTAATGAACCGGATCGTCTTATAAAATGCCAAACCCTACAAATAATGTCACACCCCGCTAAAGCAGAAACACAAGGTGTAACACGTAAGCGAGTCACAACAACATATAATAAATAACACCATTCAAGTTTTACAAAAGTTCTAATTTAACATCTATAACTAAGATGTAATAAAATACTTCTTTACAAAAACTTCAACGATGTGCTTAATCGGTATCGCCACAAACATGCTCCAAAAAAACTTCATTTCTCACTTACTTCCTGAAAAGCATGAAACATAAAACAAGTCAACTACAARRAGTTGGTGAGTTCACGGGTTTTCACATGCACAAAACGTTACAATGCATAAATCATTTCTAGCAAAACTATACGTAACTTTTGCACTTAATAAATATAAATCTACAACGATGTTTTAAAACTTGAGACGCTACTGAGCCTTTCCTGACCAATGTGCCCCATTATTTTACGCTACTTCATGCTTTTTCCCCAGTTTAAATAAAAAAGACATTAAAAGTGGGGCCGTGAATACTCACTAGTTAGCCGATGAATATCCAAGGATTTGATGACGTCTCAAGCGCTGAACGTCCTGCCCTAACCTTCCTAAACAGTCCAATGACCAGAAATTAGATTACCTATGGGTTCTCGACAGAGATAAAGTCAAGTTATATCTTATGTAATGCCAATGGTTTTTATGAATTAAAGTTGATATTTTTTATTAATTGCTCTAAAAATAGTCCAAAATGTATGCGCCTAAAAGCTACCATTTGGACAGAATATAAATTCTAAATCTGACATTTTTGTCTTCACAAATCATTACCAAAAAGGAACCTTCCACAACTCTTTTTATGTCAAAGTTTTATACCCACCAAAATAGGGAGTTAAACAGACTTTTCCCAAATTTCAAAAACTAAAGATGGGTTTAAGGTAATCATCATTACCCTACCCCTTTGAGTGACACAGCCCCTCCAAAAAAAATTGCACACTATTCGAGTGGCGGCCATTTGGGGGGTCTAAACTCATCATTTTCCAAAGATTGTAAATTTATTTTAAAGCTAACACATTAAGCTAGCTTCTAAAAGAAGATTCACCTATTTTTAACGAGTTTTTTTTAAAGAATATAACCGATTTAAGATGCATGCAAGATTCTGTCAGCAAAGTTCTTTTTACACGATAAACTTGTATCAAGAACTTAACAGTTCAGAACTCAGCTTTTAAGGGCCAAAAACCCGCATGCAAGTTCCTTTACCAACTTTTTTTGAGTTCTAATCCTTTGCAGTTCATAGATTACCATTAGCTTGAAGACATTTCCATGTCATCGATGTATAATCTCCCACCTTAGACTCTCGAGAAAGTTTGTTTATAAAAATATCGAAGAGAAAAGTGTAAGAAAATAAGAAATCTTGACGAAGAACGGGAATAATAAAATTAGTCCCTTACCTGTTGAATGAAATCTTGAATAATCCTCAAGATGGAAATGTTGTTAGAAGAAGAAATCGGCTGGAAAGGTACGGTTTAGAGAGAGAGATATTCGAGCGAAGTGTTTATGCAAGGTGGAAGGTGAAAAAAATGAGAGTTTTCAAAGGATGAGGGGTATATATATGAGGGATTTAAGAAAGGAAATGGGTTGGCCTCAAAGGCCCAAGTCCATTTAAAAACAAATTATTTTTCTTTTAAACAACATAAGGCCCATTTAAATTTATAATATCAACTTTATTATCTTAGGAGCATTTGTTAATATATTTTGGCATTACATAAGTTAACTTTATCTGCTACTCATCGAAACAAAGTTCACTAAACTATACTTTGGGAACTAAGGCAGATGAATTCCAAATCAATCATGACTAGATCCTAAATAAATATAACTCTAAATTTTGGTACCCTACAAAGGTGCTAACCTGATGCTCCAAAATGACGGATGTCACAGTCTCCCCAAGTCAGAAAA